ACCAGAAGCAGACAGCCCAGCAGGCTGCATGGTGTGGTCATAGGTCATTCTGCAGATCCTCATCCTGTCAACTTTGGTATTATTGAGGACATCAGGCTGGGTAGCCTTCTCATCTGCCGTCTTGTGAGAACATTTGGATAATCCTTGAACGGATCTCCTTGGTCTTCGCTCCATAGACAATGGGGTTGACCACAGGTGGTAGCAGGAGATAGACATTAGCCATGACCACATGGACCAGGGATGTGGGACCACCCAGCCTGTGCACCACTGATAGCCCAATGAGGGGTACATAGAAGACCAGGACAGCACAGAGGTGGGAGATGCAGGTGTTGAAAGCCTTGAGTGCTGCCCCTCGAGTTGACAGCTCCAACACAGCCCTCAGGATGAGGATATAGGAGAAGCCGATGAAAAGGGAGTCCACACCCATGACGGAGAGGATGATGAAGAGCCCATAAACCACGTTGACTTTGGTGTCAGTGCAGGAAAGCTTCATAATGTCTTGATGAAGACAGAAGGAGTGTGTGACGGTGTATGTTCGGCAGTAAGACAAGCGCGTCAGAAGGAAGGGCAGTGGGAAGAAGAGCACAAAGCCCCTGGCCAGGGAGGCAAGGCCGATCTTGGCCACCGTAAGCCGTGTGAGCACAGAAGCATGGCGTAATGGGTAGCAGATGGCCACAAAGCGGTCAAAAGCCATGGCCAGAAGGACGGCAGACTCCATGGCTGATAAAGCATGAATAAGGAACATCTGGGTCAAGCAGATGTTGAACCCGATCTCCTGAATGCCAGTGAGGAACAAGCTGGCCATTTTGGGCATGGTAACAGAGGAGAGGACCAGGTCAATAGTAGAGAGCATGGCCAGGAAGAGGTACATGGGTTCATGCAAGCGCCTCTCCACACGGATGATGAGGATGATGGCCAGGTTGCCCAGCGTGGCCACTGCATACATGAAAAACAAGGGGAAAGCCAGCCAAAAGTGGGCATTGGGTCCCAGGCCAGGGATGCCTACCAGTAGGAAATGGGCTGGATGGGCCACACTTCCATTGGGAGTGGCAATGAGAGACACCAAGGGCTGGGGCATCTGCGTTCCAGACCAGAGACTGGGAAAAAGAAAAGGAAAAACAGCTCAGGGAAGAGAAAGAAGGGATGAGAAAAAGACATTGGAGAAGTGATAGCTAAAAATGATTAAGTTTATAAGATGCCCAAGTATTTTGAGCCCCCACTTCTTTCTGTTCTTATTTTTACTGTTTTTAATTTTATAAAATTTGCTATAAAAGTTGCAAATAAACAAAAACATCACAAGCAAAATTAACCATATTAGAAGGCGTTCTTATTTACATCTCTGAACATGCCAAACTTCCTCCTAACCCTCAGGGTCCCAGCGCTACATAAGAAAATTTTTATACCATTCTGTTAATCTTGATGAGTGAATGCCCACCCCCCAAACATTCAGAACAATCCTTCTTCTAAGAGCTGATCTTGCTGACCTGGCCACAAGTCTTGGCTACATCCTGTGAGGTCTTCACAGCCCTTCCATTCTGACAGCATTACTTCTGCTGCAATCTGGGCTTGGGTCAGGTTTACAGCCAGAACTAGAGGCTTGGTATTTGATTACCTCTGGCCTAGCATCATCTGATTTATGGCAGGGAATGGGAACTTGTCCTAGAACTTGTTTTTAAGACAGATTTTTTTTTCTAAGTCTGTGGTAGCATTTCCCAAACTCCGCTAATAAAATTATCTGATATGAAGTTTGGAAGGAGAGGTCTTGAAGAAATTGAAGGAAAAGAGGAGGGATGAAATGTGATCAAAATACATTGTACCTGTGTGTGAAACTCTTAAATAGGTAGAGTAGTTTTTTAAAGTAATTTTAATTATCTGAGCTAGTTGCAGACACCATCGTCCAGAACCTGCTCTTCCAAACCAGAATTTTCAGGTGAGACATACAAAAGGCTATTTTTAAAGGGTTATTCCTTTAAAAACATTTTTAAGGATGTAAAAATTAAAAGATGAATCCTTTATCCCTAAGTAATCACTCTCTTCCCCCCGAGAGAACTGTGGAAGCCTGTTCTGGTGTTCTAGGGAGTGAGGAGATTGGGGATAAAGAAAAACTGTCATTCCAGGTGGCCAACAGAACAGAATCACCCACCAGCATGGCTCAGGTCTGTAGGAGAGGTCTGCGACCTCAGACTGTGCTTAGCTGGGCTGTGTCACTGGGGCCACATGCAGTACAGACACAGAAAGAGAATCTGTGAACGCAGCTGCTGCCACAACTGGGTGGCCACGGAAATAGCCCTTCTGCCTCTTCTCCCTGGTAAGTGGGTATCATTCCAGGCTCAACTCTGTCCTCTGTACACACACCTCTGTGCTGAGGCCCAAACACAGAACCTACCAGTTGTATGATACATCTACCTTGATAGCCATGGGCCTCTTCTTGCCCCAAATGAGACCCCTACTCCAATCCACCCTCCACATCCCTGCCTCTGAAAAGCATGACTCTAATGAGAGCTGTAGGTGTCCATCCCTGCCCCTCACCCCAAAGTCAGACCCCCATTGTCTGTTAACAGAGCTTTTCATGAAGAGGCTCAAAGTTTAGTTTCCAGCCCAGCTTCCGTCTTCTTTGTTCTCTTCTAAAAACCAGGTACTACCTGTACCACCGATACATGTGCTGAGGTATGCACACACACACACACACACACACACACACACACACGTGCAGTTCAGGCATGCACAAACACACACACCAGCACATGCACACACATGCACTCTGCATTTTACATTTTTCCACGTAAATTATTTTCCCTTGCCTTGCTTCTTAAGGGCAGGAGGCCGGAACTGGAGAGGGAGATAATAGTTGGACCCGGCCTCACAGAGACTGGAGGAAAGTCCTCTCTGAGCCACTCACTGAACACTGTCTCCGGCACAGGCGGCTGTAATTCGGAAGGGCTGCTTAACGACAGACCCCTCCAAGCCGCCAGGCTGGCCAAATGCGCCCTCCGTGCCTGCACAGTCTCTGTGGATTTTACATTGCCAAAACAAACCTCCCTTTGCTGTCTCCCTCGGGCCTGAGCCAGGGCATGTCCATCATCAGCTCTGCCACCTAAGTATAGATTGTCTGGTGGCCTTTGGGAATGCCAGCAGAGATGAGTGGTCTGGGACCCAAGGTCCACTCAAACTCCCAAGGAAAACTGAGCCCTGACTCCTACCCAGTTCTTCTGAGACCTTTACAAGACAGTGGTGTGGGGCAGTTAGTGCCATGGAAGAGAGAAAATGAATGACCGGGATGGAAAAGAGTAAACTCTGGACTGGAGGAGAGGCCAACATCAGAAAATACACAACAAGGAAGGCTTTGTGTACTGGTGCGCAAGGAGCTTTCTCACTCTTCGATGCTGCCCTCATGTGGTCGTGTGGAGGAGCTGCAACCTAGAAGCTGAGCGATGATGACTCAAGGACCAAAAAGTTCATTCTAGGCTGCCTCTGACCTTTTCCCAACGCATTAAACTTCCGGCCTTCCAGTGCTCTTTCCTCCTAATGTGGTCAGGCGTAGCTCGCACAGTGTAGAGTGGAGGTTTGAATGAAGCCAACTTAGGCTACCTCAGCATGTAGTAAAAAATAGGAAACACTAACAATTCTCCCATGAGTGTTTGGGCTCCTTTATGTTAGTCTAAACAACTGGAAGGGACAAACAAGGAAGAGGAAACCCCATTGACATAATGTTTCAACTTTCAGAGGAAGATAATAAATTGAAAAGGAAAAGTGTGAAAGTACAAGGGCCTGGGTTATTTTGAGAGCTGCTGTGATGGGGCTGGTAGGATCTTGAATTCAGCAGCAGAGAAAAATTCAAAGTAGGCGGAGAAAAAACTGGGAAGTTGGTGCGCATGGTCTCAAAATGCTTACATGTTAACAGGGGTGGACTGGATGACTTGAAGAATTGGTCCTCCCAGATGTGTTTGTGTGATGTGTATTTCAGGGCGAGCCGGGATTGGGCATAAACAGATGTTAACAGCAATGCTGTCCTTGATTGTTCATGTCCGTGAGTTCCCTCAGGCTTCCGGGAAACCCTGCTGTCTGAGGCCAAATCCACCAAGTCCGGACAGCTCTCCCCTTGGCTAGAATGGAGGACCCCCTTCCTCGGCAGGGGGCTTCTTTCTCTTAAGCAGGGAAGTCACTGTAACCCATGGCTAAAATGTAGGTTGTTTCTTTTCTCCTGCTCAACAGGTATTTGGAATTCCTGGAACGTAAAACATTCCTGGCACCTCAAACTCCAGCCAATAGTATGCACCTACCCTGAGAACCCCTCGCCCACCCCAAAAAAACTATGTACAGCTTTTGTTCACGGAAATAAATTTTAGCGATCTTGCTAAAGCTGATCCCGGAAAGTTATTCAGTCGTACTCACAGCCACCCAAACTCCCCCTTAGCATCCAAGAAAGAAATCTGGAGATCACTGGACAAGTGAAACATATGAAGAAAAGGACTCAGATACCAAAGAAGGTAAGACAAGTATCCCAGATGGCCCAACCTCACAGCCTGTTTCCATCAGGACTGTCACGTTGTTTCGCATGCACTTCATCTGGTCTGCCCTCAGGGGCCTTGACAATGTCCTGACAATGTCCTATGGCACCACTTTTGTCCTCTGTCATCACCTGGGCCAGGTGCTCGAGATAGAACCATTCCCACCCTCTCTCTCTGCATAGGTTTCTCTCCCCTGTGTATACCCCACCCCCGTCTGTATCTCTATCTCTTTCTGTCCCCTCATGGCCCTTTCAGGCCCTAACTCCTCTCCCCCTTTTCCTTCCCCAAAAGAAATCTCTTCTTATCATATCTGTTGAGTGTATGGCATTTTTTAAAGATATCCTAACAGGGTGTGTTGGCCAGGAAGGGCTCTCCTGGTGGTGTCTGGTCTAGTCATGTGGAGACCCCTTATACCTGCCGTGCTTCCTGCACCAAATTTGTCTTCTGTTCCACCAATTGCTAACTGCCCACACGGCTTTTGCTCGACCACGCATGCGTGGGACCCGCACTGTGCTCCAGCCTCTCCAGAGCTTGCTTTCACCAGACCTCCTATTGTTCGGGCAGCACAAGTCCACTTCAACAGAGCCCCTGGGAGGTGCTGCAGCTGCCCTGTGCCTGCTCAAGCGCACAAAAGAGGCTTTTCAAAGCGCACTGGTGCAGGGCGCCATGCCATGCGCCGACAGTTTGGGTGGACCACCGTGCTGCCGGCAAGGCAGTGGCCCCTGGCACTTGACCACGGTCCCGCTGTGCATGCAACACATGGCTGCCGTGTTGGCTTGGGGTAAAGAGGATGGAGATGCTTGTTCTCCGAGCTGCAATTTCTTATTTCCCTTTTCCCAAAATTGTTGGGGACAAATTAAATAGTGACAATTAGGCGCAAACAGATTTTATATGAAAGAGGTTTATTAGTTTACTTAATCACTGGTGTTTTTTTTTCTTTTTTTCTTTTTTTACTTTTATTAATTACGCTTTATTCACTTTGTATCCCCCATAAACCCTTCCCTCCTCCCCTCCTAATCCCACCTTCCCCCCTTCTTCACGAATGCCCCTCCCCAAGGCCACTGATAGAGGAGGTCCTCCTCTCCTTCCTTCTGATCCTAGTCTATCAGATCTCATCAGGAGTGGCTGCATTGTCATCTTCTGTGGCCTGGTAAGGCTGCTCCCCCCTCAGGGGGAGATCACTGGTGTTTTCTAAGTTAATCAGACAACACATAGCTAGAAACAATTCAGATAGATATATGATCTTCAAAAACCTAAGAGATCTACTGAATATGGCATTTGAAGATGTTTTGTTAATTTAAGAATTTTTTTTTTTTTTTTTTTTTTTTTTTTTTTTTTTGAGAGTGGAACATGTCAGCTCCTGGCAACACCCCATTCAACTTCAAAGAGCATCAAAAAACCTTCATATGGTGTTTGCCTCGTATGTGGCTAGCTAGCTACTGGCCAAGAAAATGCTCTTGCTAAAACTGCAGACAGAACACTGGACACACTGGAGGCAGGCAAGTAGACTGCTGAGCTTTGCCAGGACAAGGCAGGCAAATCCTTCGTAATTCCTCTTCACAGAAAAATCTGCCAGATATTCTGGGCCAGCAGGCCAAAGTGATGGCTGCTCCAACACTGCAGAGGAATCTTGAGTGACATCTGTGCAGCCAACTATCCCTGTCATTTCTATGGTTTTGGAAGCTGCTTCCTCTGCACTTCCTGCATATTCAGATCATATTTATCCTTCTCTGGTAAAGCTGAAGATTAGATAGTTATAGGCTTACAATTAAGCTTAGCTGTTTAGGATTTATGAAGATCTTTTAGGTATAAAAAGATGTTTTGTTTGGGTTTTTTTAATTGGTAATGCAACTCATGACAGAAGTTAAGCACAGCTTTGAACACAAGATAAGATAGACAGCAGAGTACTTTCTTCAAGGTTGCTAAATACACATGGATTAGACATGGTGAATGTGATTTTTACGTGATAGTATATATTTTATTAATGTTAGAGAAAGTCTTTTATTTAGACAAAAAAGGGGAAATGTTGCAGGAAACTTGATCCCATTGTGAACCCTGAGACTGTGAAGTGTAAAAACCTGTTTGGTGAGGCTCATCCCCAACACACACCTTTAATCCAAGAACTTTCTGTTTCTTATAAGCAGGTGATGATGGAATGGCTCAGCTCTAGCACACCCCTTTAATCCAAGATCTTTCTGAGCACAGGACTAAATAAAGTTAACCCTAGGTCAAGAGAGGGAGCAAGAAGCCAGCTGACAGGGAGTAAACAAAAAGAAGGGGCATTGCGAGAAGGCTACTTAAGACAGTGTGGAGAAGAAGGGGCTTTGGGCTTTTTCCTTCTGGGACATCAGCTGAGTATGAAAGTCAGCTGAGTGCTTTCTTTCCATCTCTGAGATAGCAGGTTTTCACTGCAGTATCTGGCTCTGAGTCTTCATTGGTAAAATCAAATGATTGGGTTTGGTTTGGTTTGCTTCAAAACAAGTAGCCTTGCCCCATTTTGTGAAGAACATGTTTGCACATGTACACATATGACATATGTATGTGTGTGTGGCATTCCCTTATTTCTCTCCTATTTGTTTATCACGTAACACAGCATTGAGTTGACATCAGGACTCAAGTTTCAGATCTGTATTAGCATATTCAAATTGTAAATATTCCACAAGAGACTTCACTAGGTGGTCTTGGGAAACTAGTGTGTGTGGAGCTGTATGGGGGTAGTTATGTTATGCTAGGTTAAATTATGACACCACTGTCTTGTTTTGAGACAGGTTCTTGTAGATATCTAGTTTATTTAAAACAGAATCAATGGCTACGTAGCTCAGGATGACCTCAAATTTCTGATCTTCTTACTGAGCATCCCAACTTCAAGAATTACATCTGTGTACCACTATGCCGAACTTATGTGTGACTGGAACTCAAACCCAGGGCTTCACATATGCTGGGTTAAGCACCCCACCGACTGTGCTGCATTCCAACCCTTTTTATTATCTTTATTTGGAAAGTAAATATAACAGAAGAAGTGGTTAGTTATCAGAGGGGAAAACATGTGATGGTCGGTCTTGAGCACCAACATAATGGGATTTAGAATGACCTAAAACATGTATTTCTGATGTGTTTGTGAAGATGTTTTCAGAAAAGATTAGCTGAATACCAATCCTCAAATTGTGTGGCACGTCCTAATGGGTTGCCCATATATAAAGAGCTTCGAGGAAAATCCAGTGTGCACCTGCCTACCTTCACTCCTTCCTGAGTGCACCTGTCATTACCAATGCCATGCTCCACCAACATTCGACTCCGGGATCTTCAGCCTTCCAACATGGTCTCAATATAAAGGACCAGAGACTCTCGGGGGGAGGGGCAGCGGGAGGAGTCCTGTGTTCTGTGTCTTCAGTGCTGAGACATCCATTCATGGACTGAGTAGCCAGAGTTCATTTCCTCTAGAGCATTTCCCAATCTTCCTAATGCTGTGATCCTTTGAGACAGTTCCTCAAGTTGTGGTGACCTCCAAACAAATTTATTTTCGTTGCTACTTCACAACTGTAATTCTGCTACTCGTGAATCTTAATATAAATATTTTCAGAGATAAAGGCTTACCACAACCCACAGGTTCAGAACCACTGCTCTAAAGGGCATTAATTTTTCTTAATTCCCAGCACCTATCATACAAGCCAATCTCAATCTCCCTCTTTCTCATTCTCTTGCATGCTTCTCTCTCTCTCTCTCTCTCTCTCTCTCGTGTGTGTGTGTGTGTGTGTGTGTGTGTACATTTCTTTCATTGTGTTCTTCTAGAGAACCCCACATAAAATATTATATAAGTAAGTGAAAGTTTTATAGAAAAATCTTTGTATGTTCTGGTTCTTTTCAGATCCACACACATACCCAAACTGGAGAGAGACCCTATAAATGTAAATAGTGTGGGAAATCCTTTGCTCATTTTTATTTTGTACAAGTTCATCAGCCAATGAGTTGACTTGATGTCTTCAAAAGCACCCCTCATAAACACAAGCCTCTCCCTAAGAATCCTATGGTATCCTGTTATCAGAGAGTCAAATTAGGCATGAAAAAGATGTCTCCCTTAACTATTTTAAATTCACTAGAACTTGGCTGACTTTAAAGCAGAGAATATATGTCTCATAATCCAGGTCCCTTTGTACTCATGCTGACTTCATGTTTTTAAAATGTCTAACTTGAGTAATCTGTCCTCTGTGACATAAGGACAGTCATTTCTCTTTGCCATGAAGCTGAGGCTCAGCTCAGATCTCAGTCCCCACTTCTCCTTCTACTTTGCAGATGGTCCCATTTATTTTCAGGAATTTTTTAGACCTCACGCTGAAGAATTTCAATCATGGTCTGAGCTTTGACATTAGCATAGAATTCAAAGAGTATGGATTCTAACAATAAATATATCACTAGAAGTTGGGGATTTTTCTGGTTCCTTCCCATGCTGTCAGTGAGCACTGTCTCTTGCTTACTCAGTAAAAGCCCTGGGAGTACAAAGAACAGAGGTCACTGATTCACTGCCTGTTGTTTGTGTCTTGTGTGTCTGTGTGGTTGGATGAGGGAAAAAGTATGTGCTTTCTTTAAAAAGAATATTTTTCATTAAATTTTTATTTTTACATTAATTATAGTTTATTTACTTTGTATCCCAGCTGTAGCCCCCTCTCTTGTTCCCTCCCAATCCCACCCTCCCTCCCTCATCTCCTCTCTCATCTCCTCCCTGCCCCTCTCTAAGTCCACTGATAGGGGAGGTCCTCCTCCCCTTCCATCTGACCTTAGGTTATCAAGTCTCTTCAGGGCTGGCTGCAATGTCCTCCTCTGTGGCCTGGCAAGGCTGTTCCTCCCTCGGGGGGTGGGGAGGAGGTTAAAGGGCCAGCCATTGAGTTCATGTCAGAGACAGTCCCTGTCCCCCTTACTAGGGAACATACTTGGATACTGAGCTACCATGGGCTCCATCCGAGCAGGGGTTCTAGATTATATCCATGCATGGTCCTTGGTTGGAGAATCAGTCTCAGAAAAGACCCCTGTGCCCAGGTATATTTGGTCCTTGCAGGCAAATGGTGGAATCTAGAAAAGATCATCCTAGGTGAGGTGTCCCAGAAGCAGAAAGACACAGGGTATATACTCAATTATAAGTGGATAGTAGACCTATAAGATAAGATAAACATACTAAAATCTGTACATCTAAAGAAGATAAACAAGAAATAGGACCCGGGAGAAGATGATCGATCCTCACTTACAAAGACAAATGGGATGGACATTGGAAGTAGAAGAAAACAAGTAGCAGGACAGAGCCTACCATACAGGACCTCTGAAAGATTCTACCTAGCCGTGTATCAAAGCAGATGCTGAGACTCATAACCAAACCTTGGGCAGAGTCCAGGGAATCATATAAAAGAAGGGGGAGTTAGTAAGATCTGGAGAGGACAGGAGCTCCACAGGGACCAAAAAGAATTTTTTTTTAATGGCAGCGTATGTCCAGGACTCTTCTGGTTCATAATTCAGTATGTTTCTAAACTGGCTTATTGCAATAAGGAGCTACCTGAGAAAGAATGGAGCTGTCAAGAGTTAGCCAGGAAAATCGGAAGCGTTTAGTAATGGTTTTGTTTAAGTGTCTGAAACCTGGAGACATGGCCGACCGGCTGCTTGTCTTCCAGGGAACTGCGGATTCCAGTGAGTAACTGTGCCACCATCCTCTCAGCCTTGGTCACAGAGCCAAAGCCGGGCTGCTGAACTCAAGGAGGAAAAGTGGCAAGTGAAGGAAGGGCCACTCCGGCTGCTCTTAGTGCAGAAGCTGAACGGAACAGGGCGGTGCCTGCGGTTCATGGGTTCCCGTCCTGTGGGCGGGTGCTGTGGGCGGGTCCTGGAGCTCCGCTCGCTCGCGGTGCGGTGCCATCTGCGGTTGCCGGAGGGTGAGAGCCCTGGGCGCCCTTCCTGCGCCCTGGGCCGCTGGAGCCCCGCATCTCCACTGCGGATTTCGGGCAGAGTGCAGGGGGCGACGGCAGGCCTGTTTTGGAAGACGCAGGTCCTGTGGTCCTTACTCAGCCCATCCCACCGCCCTGCAGACCTCTCCAGCGCCCAAAGGTCAGGAAGACGTCTGCCAGGGCTCCCAGACCCTCAGATCCCCGCGTCCTGACCCTCTGCCATTCGGCCACAGCTTCCAGTCTTTGCTCCTCCCCTGTTGGCCCTGGGCACTACGGAAGCACGGGGTGGGTGCAACCTTTTGACGTTTTATGACGACTCGACATCTACAGAGTTTCTGCTGGAGAACCGGGCGATCCAGAAAAGTCACATAAAGAAAGTTAAGGTTACAGGTTTGTGTTTGGCCCGTTAGACATAGCTGTCTTCAGCTGCAGGTTGGACTTGACCGAACAGTTAATGATCTTAAGGCTTGACCAGGTAATTCTGTGTGCTAAAAGAGCATTAAAGCGGATGTTCTGTTGGAGGGCTATCTGCTTATATCCAGATCTTCTACAGTTTTACCATGTCTACATCTTTGTGAGGACAGGTCTAGAACTAACAGGCTGCCGACACATTTCGTGACTTATCACTTCTATGTCGCAGTTTCTTTGCCTCACTTTAGTACTGTCAGAATCTTCCAGTTTTTCAACTGCTGTTTTTGGTTCTTCTGTTGCTCTTTGTAGTGCTAAGAGCGCGCGCATGTGCACAGACGCGCACACACACACAGACACACACGCTGCTTTAGATGAAGCTATTAACACTATCAGCTGGACCTCAACATTTCCATTTAATTCTCATGCGTTGAACAAATACTGACACACTGTTCTTGGCATCCAGCATGCGGCGCGCCCAACTGAGAATATCTCCGTGGGTATCGAATTTACCACGGCAGTAGGGGTATTGTGAGGAAAAATATGCTTAGCAAATTTCTAGTGTTAGAATTAAGAAAGGAACAGGCTGGTAGTCAGTCATGTCCACAATGGGGTCACAGAACAGCGTGACCCCAAGTAGGGTAGAACGAACAGGCGTGCGGCCCGTGTCTGGCACCAGCTGCAGCTGGGGATTTGAATCACTAAAAGGGCGTCTGCCTAGCATGTTGAGAATCGTTAAATCCCCAACATTTCAGAAAAGGGGAGGGGTGGGGCGGGGGCGGGGAGATGGTGAAAGAAGGTGCTTACTGCAGGATCGCTCCAGGAGAGCCTACATGCAGGGAACCACAGCCAGACCTTGAGTTCAGTATTAGTTTTGCACAACTGGATCTTAGGATTCTGGATCTCATGGTTTGGTGGAGACAGCAGAGGTAGGAAAACAGAACGCAAGGAGAATAATGACAGGGAATGGCCTGTTGCTGGCGGGGGTCTCAGTCCTACAGACTCTCTGCTCTCGTCCCTACAACATGCCCTTCTGTGAGACTAAACTCAGCGATTTCCGCCTTTGTGCTTTCGAATTTGTCTTAAACCCTGAAGCTGGGTTTAAGCTAGGTGATTTTTTCCAAAGTAGAATACTGGAAACCAGCGCCAAGCAGGCGCAAAATGAGAACAACAATGGTTTCTATTTGGGGTTGTGGAATAAGCTCACATTACACATGTTAAGTGCACAGAGCCTGCCTGGCACATAGGCGTCCGGGGTTTAGAGACTATCCCCTGACCCTGATGCCTTCGTTTGACAGGCACACATTCAGCAGTTAGCTGCCCGGTAGGCACTATTTAGGTCCTGAAGCTACAGCGGCATTTAAAAGCAGTGTGAATCTTCCCTTTGCGTAGCTTAGCTGGCAGCACAGACTGGGGAGGTGAGTTAACAAATACGGTCAAGTATGCCGAGAAGCCTGCCGCTGGCCAGTCAAGCTCCATACCCACATGTGGCCTGGACAGAAGCCATCAGTAGGCATCAACATACCGTTCCGTGATCCTGGTTTTTATCCTCCAAGCGACATTGTTGGCCCGCAGCACCGCACGCTGAGGCGCGTGACTGGGCGCGGTTGTGAATGGTGGAGCTGTGAGGGGGGAACAATGGTGTGCAGGACGCCGAGCGCTGCCACTGCAGCCCATCGACACCTCAGTGTGCAACTTGAGAACTGAGCTGGCATTTTGTCTCTGTACTTTAAAGGAGATAAACGTACAGGAAGGGCACCCCAGGGGAATGCTGATGGTACTTTGTGGCCTTTTCCTGAAGGTTGGAACGTCGCATTTAGTATTAACTTGCCTGGACCAGGAGAGACTATATTCATTTCTGGAGCGCGATTAGAGTGGGGTGCTGGGACTAGACAGAGGAGAATCACTATTGAACAAATACCTTCTTCTCTTCTTCTCTTCTTCTTTGCAGCCTTCGTTCATGCTCTGAGACGACTGTTACTGGAACCACGGATCCTGCGGTGTTAGTGGAAGCCACGGTGGAAGAACGGGACTGTCCTGTCTGTCTGACCTTCCTCAGGGAGCCTGTGAGCACCAGCTGTGGCCACACTTTCTGCCACAGCTGTCTCTCTGGACTCTGGGAGCTCCCAGGAGAAGCCCAGAATCTAGACTACACCTGCCCCCTTTGTGGAGCACCTGTGCAGCCGAGGAAACTACATCCCAATTGGCAGCTGGCCGGTGTCATAGAGAAAGTCCGTCTGCTAGGGTTCTGTATGGAAATGGGACTAAAGACTGACGTGTGTGAGCTCCACAGGAGCCGCTGACAATGTCCTGCAAAGAGGGTGCTGTATTAACCTGTGAGGCCTGCAACCAGTCCACAGAGCACGAAGCACACAGTACTGTTCCCATAAAGGATGTTGCCTGGGAATATAAGGCAGACAGTAAAACTGGGCCCCTCCAGCCTTTCCTCTGCCTCTCATCTGGCTGTCTCTGTATTAGAAGCTTGTCTCTGAGAGCTGGTTCCTTTGGCTTCTGCTAGCTACAGTTCCTTGCATCTAATATTCTGAGCTATAACTTTTCCTTTACTCATAATCATCTTTGATTTTCTTCTCTCCCACTTCCTCAGTATCACATCTCAAGGCCCTACACCCCGACTCAGGCCGTGTCTAGTTACTTGGTATTAGCTGAATCATCTTAACCCCCTCATTTTATAAACCCAACTCAGGCTGAGTAATTTTGGATCAAGACACATTATTTTGGAGCTGGAAAGGAACAGAGATGAGTCCCTTAAGACTGATTCGCCAGTTGCCAGCCACGCTTACGTACTAAGCATGTATTCCTACAGCATCCATGTTGTCAGGTCTTTTCTGTCTTTAGGTTAAATTAGTTAAAGAGAGATGTCTTAGGGTTTCCGTTGCTGTGGAAATAAGTCATGACAACAGCAAGTCTTATAAGAAAAAATCTTTAATTGGGGCGGGCTTACAGTTCAGAGGTTTAGTCCATTGTCATCATGGCGGGAAGCATGGCAGCACGCAGACAGACAGACAGACAGACAGACAGACATCCCCACACTTTGGGATAAGTCATCCCTGTTGTATGTACTGCTTTTGTTTTAACATCTGTGATCAGCTTCCAGACCCCACCTTGCTCTTTACCCAGATATGTCTTAATTCTCTTTCTTCAAGTTAAGATTAAAATGTAAATATATATGGCAAATCCTCTGAATCAGCATTCTTCTCCACAGCACAAAGATCTAAAACATGTACACTTTGTTTTGTTTTGAGAGTTTTAGAACAGGGAGGCACTCTAGCATTCTGACACGGAGGGTAAGAGCTTGGTTAAATCCCAGCCCTGTCATCCACTAGATGGTCACTTCCTGAGCCTCGGTTTTCCTCTCTGTAAAATGGTGATGACACCAACATCTAGGCACTGTATTTATATCATTTCTTTTTCTTGCCACTGTCACCAAACACCTGACAAGACCTGCAGCAGCCACGGAAGGGAGAAGAGGGTCATTTTGGTTCACAGTTCAAAGGGATCCATGGCATCATCGTGGGAAGACCACAGGGACAGGAGCAAAAGCAACTGGTGGCAGGATTTCTATAGTTGGGAATAATGAGTAGGAAGTGAGGCCATGCTGTGAAGCCTCAAGGCCTGTCCCACAGTGATCTAATCCGCCCAGGCTCTACCTCTTAAAGTGTGCTCCAGCCTCCCCCCACACCGTCACCAGCTGAGGATCAGGTCTCCAAACACAGAAGCCTATGGCGGACGCTTCACTTTCCAACCTCAGCAATGTTAGTGCATGTGCAGTGTTTGAACCCTAGCCAGCACTTTGTAATTCTTCAACAAACGTGGCTGTTATCAGGAGGAGCTGTCGGAGCTGACACCCTTTCCTGGGAAAGTAATGCTTTGCAGTAGGAATCTTTTGCATTACTTTCCCAGGAAAGGGTGTTACCTCTGTTGTGTATCAGAACTATCCAGGCAGCTTGCTAAGTTCCACTTCTCATTTGATGACTGGGGAAGATTCAAGCCTCTGCCATGCTGATGCTCCTGGCCGTGGACCACACTTTCAGCAGCAAGGTTCTGGGAAATAACAGGGAACAAAATTAATGAGAATAAATGTAGTCCAGGGAAGGGGCCTTTTCCTAGAAAGTCTGGCTGTTCACGGACGCGTGGAGGCTGTGCGAGTTAAGATGACCCTCAACCCAAAGAGCCCCCTGGGTGTCACACGGGCAGAGCCTGTGCCTTCTGTGGTATTCCTTTTCCTCTTGGTGGTTTTTCCAGCCTGTTGCCTGAGGACCACTGGTTTTCCCATCAGCTACCAGGAGCCTCTCAGTCAGCCTAGAATGTCTGCAGTAGCATCATGATGGGTCACACTCAGGAGCTTTCTGTCTCTTGCAGTGGAAACTCCAGGAGGCTCTGGAACATCTAAGAAAAGAGCAAGAAGAAGCCTGGAAGCTAGAAGTCAGCGAGAAGGAACGAGCTGCCAGCTGGAAGGCAGGTTGCCCTTGAGAAAGGGGTTCGTGTCATCCCTCTCTTCTAGAGAAGACAGTGAGGGCTTCTCCATGGCTGTGAGGCAGAAACGGGCCTTAGGATTCCCTTTACTTAAAGCCACATAACTTCTCAGCTCCAGCATAGAGGTTTGGAGGTAGAAGTGACCTCCGACCTCAGGTCTTCATGTATGAGGAGGAACAGGGCCTCGCACATGTGAACTCGTGGGAGTGCAGCTTGTAGAGTGGGTGTCAAGCAGCAGTTTCCGGAGTGACGACACAGCTGTTAAGACTTTGGTTACCTAAATATTAGGAAACCACCTCTGAAAAATATTAGAAGCCAAGAGGCATAAACTCTCAGAACTTTTGATGGAGACACTGTAACAGCAAAGTGATCTAAACTGGTACAAGCAGCATAAAGACATCAGCAAGAAGAAAAACTATCCAACAGCGTAGTTACCATTCTTAGTTACCATTCTTAGTTACCATCTGGCTGTTATTCTGAAAACGGAAGGTAGTCTGCCTCCTTTTTTGTTTCGGTTTGGTTTGGGTTTGGGTTTGGGTTTTTGAGACTGGGTTTCTCTCTGTAGCCCTGGCTGTCCTGGACCTCAACTCTATAGACCATGCTGGCCTTGAACTTATAGAGATCCACATGCTTTTGCCTACCACAGTGCTGGGATTAAAGGCGTGCACCACCTCCACCCAGCCTCCTCCTCTGCATCTTACCAAGATAGGATCCAGTACCAGGACCGTGGTGCATGCCTATAGGCCAGCCCTGGGAAGCAAAGGCAGAGAATTGCTACAGGTTCAAACCCAGCCTGGTCTACCTAGTGACTAATAGTCCAGTGGGGCTACTGGAACCCTGTCTCAAGAAAAAAGAAGGAGCATATCCTACATCTTGCTGGGCTTGATAAAAGTAGGACAGGTTAAATGTCACTCATCGAGAAATGTGAAATTTAAGTGCTCCTAAGCCCAAAAGTGCCTTATAACCAACATGTCAGCAAAAGCAGAAGAACGTTTCACTTACTGAGAGGTCACCCTCAGAATATGTGCGCGTCAAGCACACCAAAGTTATTTTCAGGTTGTATGTGAAGATATATGTTTATGTAAAACACAAATGAACTTCATGTTCAGACTTAGATCTCATTGCCAAAATGTCTCTTTATATGTGTATGATCTAGAACTGAGAAAAATTCCAAGTCATTAAGAAAATAGTCTACCCGTGAAAGGGACCATAATTCCATGGGGCTGTGGGGAGGCAGGGAGGTAGGAAAATTGGATCCTTTGTCTCTGCCTCCATAGCACCCAGTACATGGTCATACCAGAGCATTTCCAAAGTGTGTGTGTTTGCACCCGTCCCTGTCCTCCATCCCACGTGGCTCTTACACTGACAAGATCAGTGCTAACTCCCGCCTTGACTCCACAGACACAGATGGAAACGCGCGAGTGGAAAGTATCGGCAGCTCTTAAAGGAAAAAGAGCTGCCGTGTGGGCGGGCAGAAGAGGAGGCAGCTGCGGCTCAGGCTAGGCTGGAGCAGGAGAAGGGAGAAACGGCCAACACGCTGGAGGGGAGGCGCCAGAAGATCGCCCAGCAGAGCCGGGCCGTGCGGAGGATGATTGCAGAGCTGGAAGAAAGGTCCCAGAGACCCGTGCGCTGGATGCTGCAGGTGCGGAGCGGCCTTTCCCGCACACCGGAGCCAGAACTGAAGCTGGGCTTCAGGAGACCGCCTTAGCTAGTCCCTCACGGGCCCTGTGGCCACACTGGCCCCCACCCCCAGGCCGCTGTCCGCCTCCAGCTGATATTCCCACAGGCCGGGTCATCCGCCCAGCCAGGGGCAGGAGGGCACCAGGGGCTTAGGCTAATAGCATGACAGCATTCTAGTCCCTTCCGTCCTGGCCGTGTGGAGATGGAGCCTGAGGTGTTCAGCCTGGTCGGGTCTGCTCTGCTCTCCTCCCATGAGCTCCCCAGCCCTAACTTGAGGAAGCCCCTCCCAGAGCTTGTCCGTCCGGTGTCTCGGACTCACCTGCTGCGTTCTTTTCTCCTCCTAGGGTATTCAGGAAGCCGTGAACAGGTATGTTCTTATCCTCAGAGCCTCTGTGAAGCCCCTCGGGATAGGGAGGCCTGGCCAGAGCCGGAACTGGAGAGGAATATAGACTGAGTACCTACAGAAGGCTGAGGCTGACTCACCGTCTTACATTCTATTGCCTGAAGATTTGTTGACCTTTTTTTTTTTTTTTGCACTTAATCAAATTCATTCCAAGTATTACCAATAAGAATTTTAAGTAAAGCTGAAGTATGTTGTTTCGTGTAAGTGGTCCAAGAACATGACACGTGAGTCTTTCAACTCAGAGTATCAGCCTTTCTCCTTTGCATCACACCCCTAACTTTTCTTCTGTCCCAATACTCAACTTTTTCCACAAGAGGGAGCTGTATTTTTCGCTCCCTGTCACAAACAGTTTGAAGCTCAAGCCTGACGTCCCTCCTCTGCTTCACTAGACAGGGCAGCCTGTGTGCCTGGCTCTGGCCAAGCCCCTCTTCCCTGGGGACGCAGGCTCCAGGGGCCCAAGTTAACACTCCTGCATCCAAAACACACCCTCTCCTGCAGGAGCAAATCTTGGAGCCTGCAGCGGCCAGAACCAATCTCCTTGGAGCTGATGGCAGATTGCCGTGTTGTAGGACTAAGCGAGATCCTGAAGACGTGTGCAGGTATTAGACACTTAGGGACGGTGATGGGCAGGGGGCGGGGCTCCGCCCACAGAGATAAATGGCTCAGTGCGGTCTGGATGCTTCATCTAGCCCCACCCCTCCCGTTGCTGCGAACTCTGTCTTCATCAGAGACTTCCGACTTGTCCCCTTGTTGGTATCAGTGTTGCCGCTAGGATCTTTTTCCCTAGTTGACGTGCGCCTAGATCCGGACACAGCTTACTCACGCCTTGTCGCGTCCAAGGACAGGAAAAGCGTGCGCTATGGAGTCACCCAGCAGAACCTGCCTGACAATCCGGAGAGATTTTACCGCTACAACGTTGTCCTGGGCAGCCAATGCATCTCCTCTGGCCGACACTACTGGGAGGTAGAGGTTGGAGACAGGTCTGAATGGGGCCTGGGGGTGTGCATGGAGAATGTAGACCGGAAGGAGGTGGTCTATTTATCCCCTCACTATGGCTTCTGGGTGATAAGGCTGAGGAACGGAACAGAGTACCGGGCAGGCACGGATGGATATCCCCTCCTGCCTGTGTCAGTCCCTCCACACCGGGTGGGAGTCTTCCTAGATTATGAGGCTCACGATGTCTCCTTCTACAATGCGACTGATGGTGGCTCCCACACTTCCACCTTCCCCCGTCACCCCTTCCCAGGCCGCCTCCTGCCCTATTTCCGTCCTTGCTACAGCATTGGCACTAACAACACCACCCCCTCACCATTGTACCCTGGGCGGGGAAAGCTAGGAGAGCCACCAAATAACCTAATGTTGGAGTTTGGCCTGGTACCCAGGGCTGTTGGAGGATGCCTCCATGGACCCAGCCTAGAACCCAAGGGCCTCTTGGTCCTACCTCATAGTATCTTGGTATCAGACCAAAGCGTCAGTGCCTCTCTCAGAAAAACAGCCCTAGCCAGATAAGTATTGTGATCCAAGATGGAAACAGAACTGGAAAAACAGACTTTTGACCATTCTGGAGATCATAGCCCTCCTTCCTGGTTCCACAACTAAGCGAGTGCCAACGATTAAACAAATGCAAATTGCAGGAAACCTTTTAAATAACATCTTCCAATGAAACAAAACGAGGCCAGGTACCTCACATGAGGCCTGCTGCTACCACACAAATCCTAACCTCACCCAAGAGACTCCTCACCACACATCCTCTCTGAGAATGTGGGCGGGTCTGCGCCCTGGGCTTGTCTTTTCTCTAAGGGGCAGGATCTGAAAATGTAGGGGCCTTGTTTTTATTTTTACTTTCTGTATAAAGAGACTGAAAAAAAAAAACTTAAGTTGTTTCATACAGAGCTTTGGGGTTAAGATTTTAAAGGTTGTAAAATGATTTTCACTTTCAAATGAAACCAAGTTGACAAATTCAATTCACCGATCACAAGTCTGCCTGTCATTCATTACATCTTGGGTCTGAAACTTGTGTCTGAGAGAATTTGGGTGTCCTGTTTGGAAAACGGGCTCTAATCTGGCATAAAATAACATTCCTCTACCTTGCCTGTTTATTGTAAAGACTCAAAATCCATCCAGTGCTTTTGTTCCCTGTAGATAATGGAGGGCAAAGAGTAGACACTGCACGCGGCAGCCTTCCTGCCTTGCAACTTTGTTCCTCGGAGCCCCTCCCAGCAGTGCAGAGCCCTTTAAACAAAAAGTAACCATGCCACACTGTGTCACAAGGGCATACTGACATGAGGCCACAGAGGTATATTGTATATCTGATAGCATGATAGGTTAGAGTGAGGACTGTGGCCTCAAAATCGAAAACAAGGTAATAGCAAAGAAGAAATAGAGTCATCAGGAAGGAAGGAAAGCCCAGCAGCTCATTAGGGTTAAATTAGGATCTTCTGATGCCACTGGGAGCATTTAAATGGTTCTTGTAACTGTATAACATTCTCCTTGAAGGTATAGGGGAGCAAAGTGTGGGGAGAGAATCATACTTAAAAAAAGCCAATTGGTTCAATAATGACAGGGAATTAAGATTATATATTGAACTGTTGCTTTAAAGTTGTCATGTCAGGGAAAGTTGCACAAAAATAGCCCACAAGTGACAAGACTGGGAAGTGGGAGAGTTTGCTGGCTCTGCTCATGGAAAGGGACCAATCCTGTGGTTGCCTTATGTTCTCAACCCTGCATTGCATATACAAGTTAAATGGTGTTATTAAACATGTCAGAATACTGTAATCATCTCATCTTCGTGTCCTTCTCACTGAAAATTGAAATTTTATTCACACATAGCCTTTACAGCTTCCTCTTGGACTCTGCACACACAGTGGAAACAGTCTAGCTCCAGGCATCTTTAAAACACCTGTGAACTTGTGTAGGCACCGGAACGTATGAAGAGTTTATTTTCATGAACCTTGTCTAGAGAAACACGTCAGCAGCATCCACATTTGCTCCCGTATTTGCTTGGTCCTAATACCATAGATGACAGGGTTCAAAGTGGGCGGGATGATCAGGTACAAGTCAGCTAAGAGCACTTGGGTGTGCAGAGGAACGACGTCCTGCCACAGCCAGGCTATATATATGGACGCAATCCCAGGGAGATAGAAAAGACACATAACTCCCACATGAGAGCCACACGTGCTCAGTGCTTTCAGCTGGGCATTCTTGGAGGACAGGCTAAATACTGCCCTAAGAATCAACATATAGGAGGCAGCAATGAAGGCCATATCAGAGCCCACAATAATAGAGGAACAAATCAAGCTATACAGACTGCTAGGCATGGGGTCCGCACACACTAACTTGGCCACAGCCATGTGTTCACAGTAGGAATGAGGGACTACGCTGGAGCCACAGAATGGCAAATGGCTCAACATCCAGCTCAGCGGAGTCATGGAAATGACAGCTCTGATGACGATAGTCACACATAATCCCAGCATCAGTTTAGGCGTGAGAATTCTCCTGTAGTGTAGGGGCTTGCAGATGGCCACATAGCGATCAAAAGCCATGGCCAGTAGCAGCCCTGTCTCCACAGCGGTGGCAGCATGGACAAAGTACATCTGAGTGAAACAGGCATTAAAGCTGATGGAGCTGTCCCCTGAACTGAAGATGCTCACCATCTTAGGCACCACAGAGGAGGCCATAACAATGTCCACAGCAGCCAGAACACACAGAAAGAAGTACATGGGCTCTTGCAGAGTGGAATCCACGCAGACCACAGTGATGATGAGGGTGTTGCCGAAGAGAGCTATGCTGTACATGGCACTCAGTGAGATGGCCAGCCAAAGATAGGAAGACTGCAAACCTGGAATGCCCACCAGGAAGAAGGCACCAGGGGACTCCATTGTGTGGTTGGGGGATGGTCCTGACATCACAGTTTAGGTGGCTTTTCTATTGCAGTGTAAAGAGAAGGCAATGGAATGCCGTCAGACGTCTTCCGGTCTTGGATGTGGGCAGATCCTCAGTGTCGGGGTAGTGTTTTCAGAATCAGAAAACACAAACTAAGCCATCTTGCTCCATTTCCCATTTTCATCAAGGTTCTCTGTGTTAACGGATTCTATGCTTTGTTCAGAATCATTTGTTGATTTCCCTCCTTTAGGAAGTCTCTTACGTTTCATGAAGAGGTAAAACTAGAAACCTTCCCAAGATTTTTATAAAATGTCTCAGGATGACCTAGAAAGGTATGGCCCGGCAGTCCTAATGCTCCACCCAGGTCTTTCTTGTATTTTCTAGTGGGTGATTCTTGTTCATGTGGCATCACTGTCTGGAGATGTTGGCTGATCATCAGGGGAAATACGGCGCTTTCTTAGAACATAAAACAAAGCTCTATGTATTTCTTCTGCCCTGCGGCAGATGCGGTGCTGGCCCTACATCACCATGAATCAGGAAAGCAAAGGAGCCACTTATATTGCTACTAGAGTCACACCCCCAACACTAAAAACATTATGTATCACTTGCTACCTCTTTTGCCTTAATCAGGTTACATAAACTGTCCATGCCTTAATTTGATCATTGGTGTTTTGAAATTTAAATGGAAGGCTATATAGAGTATTTAGTTAAAAAAAAAAAAAAAAAAAAAGTAGGGCAAATTTAAAAATAAGCCTGGCTTTCTCTGCTTAACCGTTTAACTCCAAAGTCTACATAAGTGGGTAAGTACAACACAGACTAAAATTAAAAATAAATCTGCCAGCCTGTGTTAGGGTTCACCTTTAATCCCAGCACTCAGGAGGCAGATAGGCAGATCGCTGAGTTTAAAGCCAGCCAGGTTTACAGAGCGAGTTCTAGGACAACCAGGGCCACACAAAGAAACCCTGTCTTGAAAAAAAGAAAGAAAGAAACCTTAAAAATATCTACCAACACAACACCATTCTCTTAAGGTAAACAATGTGTATATGGCTCTGACGTCATTCTAAATGCTGACACCAAAATGGAGTTGGGTTAGGCATGGAATGGGTGTGGCAAACATACTTTATGTAGACTATATTCCTGCCTCAACATCTTTTCTGACTACTCTCAAATTAGTCCTCTCTCTTGGACATGCACAGACAGTTTGACCTAAGGAGCTGATTCGAGACTCTGACTGCAAATTCTACCACATTATGCCCCTCGGGTCTCTTTCCTTAAGCCCACGGGGCCTGAGTATTGTATCTCTGAAGCCTTTGCCTCAGGTTGCCGTATCACCAAGACAGGTGTTGACCTCACAATATTCAGATGAGGCCCAAGAGGTGTTTCTTACGTTTCCTTTCAGCCTTCGATGAAAAGAGCCTCAAGAATAGTTTGAGTAGCTATCACATCCCACAACCCCTCATCAATAGGGTTTGCAGCATAAGTCGTGATATACTTACCTCATTTTTTTATTCTCGCCCCTGTGCTAGAGAAGACATTTCCTGTGTTACCCAAACATAAGACAAGCATTTACCTGGTTCTCCATCCTTACCACATGGTGTCCATTTACCCTCAGCTTTTCTCCTGGAGAGCTGACTGACGCCACATTGGTGCAGAATCATCAAGAGTTTTTAGGGAGCCGGGTTTCTGAGGCTTGATATTTATATATGGTCTTTTTTAAATGAACCGTGAAACAGAAACCTTAGTAAAATAAAGGTATAGTGAGACGGATTTACCTAAATGACAATTTCCATTTCACTGTCAATAAAAACCTGTGTTGCACAGACTCAGCGAGTGAGACATCACTGACCGATGAGAGCAACGCTGAGAAGAACTCCAAAGTAAACGAGAGAAGAGTGCAAAGTATGCTGGGTATCCCTCAGACCCAGTCTGTGTTTAGGATGCTACAGGCTGGGGTTGAGCTTTGGTGCCTACAGACTCGAAGAAAAGTGAAGGACTCAGAATGCCCACACTCGTTCACCTCTGACCCAGACGCTACTCTGTATGAAGTCCCCTTTCATCCGAGGGCACCCCACATCACGCCCTGCTTCATCTTCCTGTCTCCAGCCCTGAGAACCTCACCTCATAACTCTCCAGATGCTCACAGCAGTTTCAGGTTAATGATATTCTTTTTTTAAACTTTTTTCCTTCATATTATTTTTCTTTCTTTATCAGCATTGCAAGAGAGGTATATGTGGTTTCAGTCTTTTCAAACTAAGGAACATTTGTTTTGATCAAGTATCTCTTCTTTAGAGTATTTAAATTTTTCTTGCAAACATCAGTAGTGACCTCCATTAAAGATCTGTTGTGAATCCAGTAACATTTTAAGCATCATTTCCTGTATGCTTACTTTTCAATTGGCTCTTTGGGTCACTCAAAACACCTGCTCTAAGATAAATAAATCTAAGGTGCAGAGGTTAATCCTCTCAACATGCACACGCACAGGCAGCCACAACTGCTTCCTGCTTGTTGGGGTGAATTCTTTTCAGAAAGCCCAGGCTCAAAACTCCTGAGACACCTCCATCCGTGCACTGTTGCGTTAAGCCCTGAAGATGCGTGTGCTATCTGGAGGGTCCATCATGGAAAAGGGGCCTAGGCAAATCATTTAAAATCAATAAGTAAGTCATAGCATAGGAGGTGATATCTTATTCCAAATAAAGGATGGAGGGATTCGTAATTAACATGCTTTGCGGATGAAAGCAGCTCTGCCCACTTCATTTGAATGCAGCCTTGCTGCCTGTGATAACCTCGTATCCCCAGTTGCCTCCCTCTACACCCGGACAGAGCCCCACCCGGCCCTCCAGCGTGGATTTTCCTCACAGTCGTGGACCTAAAATTATGTATGTACCATGCCAGTGTTGCACGTGCCTTTCATGCCTCTGTTTTGAACACAGTAACCCTACATACCTACTCCTCCTCCTGTACCCGCCAGCCCTCGCATCATTTCCAGAGGGAGCTGTGGGCATCCACAGTGCCTCCGAGCTGAACGGCCACCTCATATTGTATGCTTGGATGGAGAACTTGAAATCTTAGCTCTGAGGTGACCTTGGCCTAAAGACTTCTTAAATCAATCTCGGGCTCCTAATTCAGTTTTCCACGTAACAGATTTCCTCTTGCAAGATTTCCTCTCTGATTAAGGATGCCTCCTAGTCCCCATCTCTCACATCAAATGATGTGTAGATTCACATAAGGCCCTCTCCAGAAGCAGTGACATCACAGAAGCCACAGGAGACCAAAGACAATGGAGTGCCATCCTTTTCAAATGCCTCCTATTGGGAGACTCCCTTTCCCCTGAGATGCTCTGTCACCCTGGCTTCCCTGGACCCTGCTTCTCTTGGGCTCTGCCCAACAGCCAAACACTGAGACTCCTCCAGAGACTGGCTCTTTCCTGTGCTCAGTCCCTTGGGTGCTGAGAAGTCTGGAGCCTGGAGAGTGAATGGTGTCTCTGTCTTCTAGTCCCAGAGGATACCTAAGCATTAGACTAATAAATGATAAAGCATACATCTAGAAAGAAAATCAAATGTTCCAGTTTCTTTTTTCTTAGTACATTTACTTATTTATTTATTTTCTTATTTCTTATCGTGTGGGCATGCCCATGCCTCAGTGCACTGTAAAGGTCAGAAAACAACTCGCCTCTCCTGCGTTCATTTTCAGTTCTGGACCTTTCACTGAGGTTGCCAGGCAGCAAGTGCCTGTATGCTCTGAGCCATCTCACCATCCCCGATTACTTGTTTTAATTTTTCAATATTCCAAAACCTCTAAAGCATCGGTGGTCAACCTTAATAAGGCCTCAGCCCTTTAATACAGTTCCTCATGTTGTGGTGACCCTAACCATAAAATCATTTTCATTGTTACTTTATAACTGTAATTTTGCTACTACTATGAATAGTAATGTAAAATCTCATATTTCCCCTGGTCTTAGACAACCCCTGTTAAAGGGTCATGACCCACGGGTTAAGACCTGCTGAGATGTCCACATTTGATTATCACAGTCCTCTATGGCAGCTGCCGTCACTACACCCACATTTCACAGAAGAACATCAGACTCTGAGAAGTGCACAGAGCTACTGAGACCAGGAATGAAGCTTCAGATCCTACCCAGAACTCGTTTCACTGGCTTCACACAGTGAGCACATCCACGTGAGACCGTGAAGCCAGTGTGGCTTGGAGACCCTGGTCTCCGTTGGTTGTGAGTGGGATTGCTGCATCCTACGTGAATCCTGCCTCTCATGTTTCATAGATGACATTACTATCGCCACAGAAATTTTACTATCGCAATTTCCACTAACATTGCAGAGAGGTCTGAGTTTATCCATATTTTCACCCACAGTTGGTTGCTACTTCTTTTTTTTTTTTTTTTTTTTTTTTTTTTTTTTGGTTTGGGTTGGGTTTTGTGATCATACATACAGATCAAATGTATTACCTCACTGTAGTTTTAGTTTTCCCCTTTCTGATGATCAGTGATAAAAGAGCTTTACATATGTTAGCTGGTTATTTGTGCGTCACCTTTACAGAAATGTCTGTGTCGGTTCGACTATCCAATTTTCTTGTCATTGTTGTTGAATTGTAGGATTTCATCACTTACTGGAAAAGTAATTCTTACTAAATATATAATTTGAATATACCTTCTTTCATCCTGTGTGGTGTCTGTTTTTGTCTTTTGTTACACAAAATTGTTTCTGGTTTTTTTGTGGTTCCATCTCTTTTTCAATTTTGCTGCCATCACTTTTAGATATCATGTCCATAAAATCTTTGCAATGTTAAATATTTTCTCTAGTTTTATGCTTTCCAATCCTCCAATTAGTTCTTTACATTTTTCAATTAACTTTTGCATTATTAGAGGGTCTCCTCTAATAGTTTACGTTTGCATGTCCAGGGCTTGTATCGCCGTGACCAGTATCAGAGCCGTTAACCAAATATACCTGACAGTTGAGTCCTACTGTTCTGTCCCACTGTTATGTCTCTGTCTGTCTGTCAGTTCTACACCGATGGTTTTGATAGACTTAAAACCAAGGCCAATCCGGAAAGATGGGGACATGTCATGCTAATCAAGGTGACAGCCAACTTACTATTGCAGTTTCTCCCAGAACTTCGAATTTTAATGTCAGAGTGTGGTAGTAAATAAAAATGAGTGTTTGGGCTATATAAAGTTTATTATTAGCCCTGTAATTATTGTGGTGGTATAATTTGACCCACTATCACAAATAATAAGACACATACACCCGTTAGATTTTATAATTGCTTTATTTACCTTGGGCTGGGCAGATATTTCTACCTACACAATCTCAATAACCTCACCATCCATCTCCCAGCCCCCATCCAATGTCATCTGCCTTAATCATCCTCATCTGGGCTACCTTGCATCCATAAGCCCAATACGCTTGCTTGTATTTTTCATCTTGATGTTTTCTCCATCAACGCCATCCTGGGAGTCCTCCCTCCCAGCCCATGTGGTTCTTTCTCCATGCTAACCCATCTTGGCATCCTCCTGCCTCCTCTCTTCCCATCATCTGTCTGTCTCTTTCCTGAATTCTCCCATCCTCAAAAGCCCAGGAACCTTAGCCACCCCTACTACATTCTGCCCTGCCCAGGTATAGGCCATTTAATCAACCAATCAGGTAGGTTTACACAACAAAGATAGGCGTATCCAGGAAGCAAACAGATCTTGAGGGCCAGTAATATAATCTTCTGACCAACCTCTAACATCAGAAAGTGAATCTTACTAAGATTTTCAATTTCATTAAGAATCAAATATATGTGTCCTCCCCCAATAAAACTGTGTGACTAACAGAAGGGAGTTGAACCCAGAGCATTATTCTCTTCATCCCATGTTGCGAATTGGTTTTTTGTTTGTTTTTTTACTATGGTTCACATTTCTTTTTCCAGCTCATTCATTAGAAAGGGGCTGGCACCACTGACCTTGAGTTTACAAAAGACAAACTAAAATCTGTTTTAGGTGGAGAAGTTTTCTGCTCCAGGAAACAAATAAAATGAATTCACTAGTGAACCAGAGAGCAATATCTAACAGTTTCTAGCACAAAATAAAATGAGGAGAGGAACAAGTCTAAGAAAATTCTAGCAAGGAGAAAGGTAACAAACAGTAACTTTCGTCAACATAGGGACTGATGTTAGATTGGAATAAAGATTATTGAAAATACAGAAAGAAAACACCAAGTCACATTCTCTGCACAGACTGCAATCTGGTGTCATTCTAGATAAATAAACCAGAAGAAAACAGTCAGTCAAACCGTAGTGAGAAGTTGAGGTGCTATGGAAGGGCAGTCCACACCCGGAAATCAGTCTATGTGCAAAGATCTCAAAGACATCTTTGCCGTTGGCTGGAACATGTGAGGTATGAGAAGCTCTGTGTTCATGGACCTTGAGTGGATTGGTGACAGAAGCAATGCATCAGCAGATTCAGTGTGCGTTCCCGGATTTGTCTGGTCTTAATACCATAAATAATAGGGTTTAAGGTAGGTGGAATGATCAGGTACAAGTCAGCTAAGAGCACCTGGCTGTGCAGCGGAACTTTGTCCTGTCCCAGCCAGGCTACGTAAATGGATGCCATCCCAGGGAGATAGTACAGTGTCATGACCCCAACATGAGAGCCACACGTGCTCAGTGCCTTCTGCTGGGCATTCTTTGACGACAGACCAAAAACTGCCTTGAGAATCAGAGTATAAGAGGCAGCAATGAAGGCCACGTCTGAGCCCACAATGACGGAAGAAAAGATCAAACTGTAGAGACTGCTAGGCATGGGGTCCGCACACACTAACTTGGCCACAGCCATGTGTTCACAGTAGGAATGAGGGATTACGCTGGAGCCACAGAACGGCAAATGGCTCAACATCCAGCTCAGCGGAGTCATAAAAATAACAGCTCTAATGACGATAGTCACACATAATCCCAGCATCAGTTTAGGCGTGAGAATTCTCCTGTAGTGTAGGGGCTTGCAGATGGCCACATAGCGATCAAAAGCCATGGCCAGTAGCAGCCCTGTCTCCACAGCGGTGGCAGCATGGACAAAGTACATCTGAGTGAAACAGGCATTAAAGCTGATGGAGCTGTCCCCTGAACTGAAGATGCTCACCATCTTAGGCACCACAGAGGAGGCCATAACAATGTCCACAGCAGCCAGAACACACAGAAAGAAGTACATGGGCTCTTGCAGAGTGGAATCCACACAGACCACAGTGATGATGAGGGTGTTGCCGAAGAGAGCTATGCTGTACATGGCACTCAGTGAGATGGCCAGCCAAAGATAGGAAGACTGCCAACCTGGAATGCCCACCAGGAAGAAGGCGCCAGGGGACTCCATTGTGTGGTTGGGGGATGGCCCCAGCATGACTGGTCAGACTGCTGTCATCTCCTGTTAACTTATAAAGTACTCTAAGAGAAGCGACAGTCTTAAAAAACTGGTTCTTGTGTGTGATATTCACAAATTGATGAAATATTTTCACCTTGGTGGTATTTTCATGTCCTAAAAATTAGCATATTAAAAAGTAAATTCTGTAAAGATTCTGTGCTTCATTAATACCTGTTCACATCTGAACAGGTATTAATGAACAGGTATTCCACATCTTCAGTTTCTTCCTTCAAGCAGTTCCTGTTCTCTCTGTGTGTATGTGTGTGTGTGTGTGTGTGTGTGTGTGTGTGTGTGTGTGTGTAGGTGTGTGTGTGTTTCTGTCTGTCTTTTTCTTTATGCCTCCCTCCCTCTATTCCTGTCTTTATCCATCTCTCTGCTGCCCTCTATCTGTCTGTCTGTCTCTCTCTCTCTCTCCCCTCTTCCTGTTTGTCTTTGTCTCTCTCTGCCCCCTCCCTCTTTCCACCTATTACCATGCAGGCACTACATATTTGTTTTTACTTCAAGTTTTCATGAAATCATGTTGATCCATAATGATTTCATATTTATGATTCCAGTAGTCTACCTATGGCTTATGGTATACACTAAAGCATGCATATTTTATTTGTAATTTTGTGTGATCCTAGCCTGTGGAACAAAGTTAAGAGATCATGTATTTCTTATAGTCAGCTACTTCAACATAATGAATTATTAAAAGAATTTGCTCTTTTTTCATGATTGCTCAATTAAACAAACTTACTGAGGTCACATCATATTATAAACTCCTTGGAATAGTACCTAGAGAACTGGTGAAAGAACATTTTGTCAGTCAAAAATGCATTTCATGGAAAATATAGGTTCAAGAAATAAGGCCATTAGAAAATGACATAATCACTTTTCATAACAGACAGTGTTTTTTAATTACTTAAATTTTCTAAATTTGAGGCTCATTTTTCTTGAAGTAGTTTCAATTGCTAGACTAAATAATTACGTATTAACATCTTAGACACACATAAAGATGAACCTTCCATAGCTTTTCTGTGTCTTCGGTGTGTTTTGCCCCTTTTCATGCTAAACTGCCAAAGCGTTCCATAGACCTAGGAAATGTTATCCTTGTGAAAGTAAGCCAGGTTTTAATGAAAAACAGCATTTATGAGAAAATTTCTACATTGGTAAAATACAACAAATATTCATATAAAACAATATACTTGTGTATTTAAATGAGAAGCTTCTTCGTCTAATATCATATTACATCATACAGTCAATTTGAGATTCCCGTTAGGTCTTTCCGGTACTAACTCCTAGCAGTACATTTAACACAGCGTTAAAGTCAAGTAAACAATTACAAATACTTACCCCTGAAGAATGTATTATAGATTCACCTGGACAGTTTTGGTAAAGAAAACAAGATCAGCAAGTCCAGGAGCCGCACTCCAACCTTGGCAGCGGTTGTCTTTGCCCTGCACCTTCCTCATTCAGGTACTGCCGGGCACAGAATACGTACTGATTTTCCCGGATGTCCTAACATCAGCACTAGCATCACATTCGTGTGCTGAACCCTTTACTTCCCTTCCGTTTAGGTTGCTTATGTTCTGTGATTTCATGTGGCACTTGCATGTGTGTTCAAACCCACTGTATTCTGAGAACATATCACACAAGCTCCAGTTTGATTTGATGGAATCATCAGACCTGGAAATGTTGGTGGATCTTCTAGAAAGCCTTGGTTTCTCTAAGAGCACAGCACAAAATCCCTGCTGTTGTCTCATGCAAAATGTGTTATTAGAGAGCCAGAAAAACAAAGTGGCTAACAACAAGTGGCTCAAAAATCTTACTGTGCAAGGTGAAAAACCTAGCTTGTCACTAGCTAGCCATTGGCCTTGATCAAATCATGTACACATTCCAACCCTTAACTCGTACATTGGTGGGATAAAAATAATCATCCCCATATCAAAAGGGTGTTTTGAACTTATGTGAAAAGCTAAGCAAATTGCTTATTATACTGGTTTGAACAGCAGATGTCCAATAAGATATAGAAAACAAGAAACAACATTGCTTGTTCTGCTGGTATGCCCAGTCTACAGCCAGCAGATTTAAATGCCTATTCCTGAAGATTTCCTCCCGGCCCTCCAGTGAGCTACCACTGCAGAGCTCCCTATATTGATGCACTAGAATTTAGCAGAGAGCTTGGTACTCAGGTGTTCGATAGAGTATAACTAACTTTAATTATTTTACATGGATTGACCCTATAAATTGCTCTGAATCACAAACTCAGGTGGGTAAATGTGACTTGGAGACCTTTTTTAATTATTTTTATTTTTATTAATTACAGTTTATTCATGCACTGCCTGAAGGTTTTCTCCTGTCACCCTTTGATCTGCCATTGGAAGATATCTCACCAGGGATATGCACATGAGGCTCTAATCTGTAATTTGCTCTCTTTTGGCGGGGGGGGGGGGGGGGGTTGTTTTCATTGTCACTTTAGTGGAAAGGGACTTGCCCATCTATCTAACAACGCATTTCTGATAACAAAGAATGTGAAGTGTTATTTGGTTCTGCTTTTGTATAAAAATTCTTCCAAAGATGAGAGGATGGCTTGGAAGTGGGTATGATGAGAATCTCCTTGCCAGTTAAGTTGATATTTTCACTATTTGGCCTGTTATTCTCAACAGTCCACCCAGCGGAAATGGAAAGTCAGCTTAGCCCAGAACTAGACTCGAGATCCCAGATATGGACGAGACTATCTTAAGTCTAAATCGCTTCCTTCTCCAAACCCCTTATCTAAATATTGCATCACTAAAGCCTCAGCCTAGTCAGTTATCACATCAGTTGCGTGGCTTATGTTCTCTTAATAATAGACAAAAATAATCTAGGTTCACAAGCTCTGAGACTAGGCAGACTAGCCACGAAATCCCATGACTTCTAATCAGTAAAGGGTTTCAAGACTAAGCTCCATATTCTTACTCAAAGTTGTCCCCTTTAATTTCTCTTCTATGTGTCTGGTCCCTCCCTGGATACTTGTATAGTTCAGGCATGTGAGCATCTGTACTCAAATCCCCTGTGCTGCAGCAGACATTTTCTCTGTTATCTAAGCACTAGAAAAACCCTTACCTTCTTCTTCATCCCGGCCGTATGACAGACACTTGCCATTTCGGTGTCAGTCCTGGACAGTTAAGCTCTAATTGGCCTAACACCCAGGTGCCGGCAGCCACCTTGAACAAAATCTTCAGGAATTATCTGCAAAACCAAACGTGTGAGATCTCAATGCACATTATGAAACTTTGAAACAAACAAACCACAGAGTTGGGGAGAGGCCATTTAATGACGGAGACTGAAGGATATAAGCTCCACATGGTGGGTCTTAGGAACCTTGCTGTCTGTGTAGCCACAGGGATGAGACAACCTCAGTAGAAGAACAGATGAGGACAGATGAAAGCAGTCAAAACAGAACGGCGTTGAAGAGTGAAAACATTGCAGGATCCTCTAAGAGGCTATGTCTGCCCTGGGCGCCACAAATTCATAGTTCATCATCACTACCTATAGATTTGAGGAGAACCCCAAAGATCCACAATTCTCACTGCCCCATTCTTCTTTGACCCAAGACCTTTCTCTCCTAGCTGTCTGACAGTAATCCACCCTTTTGCCAAGGGCCTGGTCTGCTTACATGCTGCCTACTCTTCCTCTCTCCAGCCCTGACAACCTTACCACATCACACTTTTCTATGATCTTCTAAATTACTTACTTTTCCTATTAACCATGACTCATAGAGAGTTGAATGTGTTACAAGCCTTTTCCAAGAATGAGCATTGATTTGATCATTTTTCTTTGAATTTTTATCTCACTCAACCTATTATAAAGTATTTTTTTCCTCATGAAGATTAACAGTGCCAAGATCTGCTGACACCCTTGTGACTCCTCTTAGCATCAGTAATTGCCTCCTTAATTCTTTAGTTTTTAAATTCTATTTAAGGTGAAAGAGCTGCCAATGACAATCCTGTGTGCCTGCCCCAATGCCTCTCCCCACAGCTCAAACACACTGACACTCAGCCTATATCACATAGTCTTTTCTCATAGCTCCTCCAAGCCTTAAAACTGTCTCCCCATTTTTCCAAAGTTGGACTTCTCCTTCTTTTTGCTTTAAACACAAGTAATTTTGCATTCCTGTTCACTCTTCCATCTCCGCCAATCTGTCACTGCCAGCAGAAGCCTTTGGTGTTAGCAGTACCTTCCAAACCTGAACAGCCTCTACACTTTGGCAGAGGTCTTGAGCTTTTCCTTCCATGATCATGATCTGGTGCCGCATCAGCCCAACTTCCTGTTTCAGACACTTATGTGCCAGAGTTTTGTTCACTTAACTTTCTCTATCCATGCATGGGTGATACATATTTCTTTCAGAAATGAAATTTATTCAGGACCCTTCTCAGAAGCAGTAATCACCAGAGGAGACCAAAGAAAACAATGGAGAGTCAAGATGAGAACTATCCTTTTCAAAGACCTCCCACTGGGATCCCTCCTCCCATTATTCTATCATCCTGCTTTTTCCCTGGACACCCAATGTCTTTTGGCCTCTTCCCAGCAGCTAAACACCATAAATCCTCCAGAGTACTGGCTTTTCTCTGTGTTCCATCTGGAGGAGACTGCAGGAGGAGTCGTATTCCTAGTGAGTTAGCAGGCTTTGTTTCTTCAGGTCTCAGAGGATACTTGAACAACAGTCAGGTACTTAAACAGGAAAGAAAACAAAAGATTTGATGGAAAACCTGTATGAGCCAGGCCCCCAGAAAGATTCTTTTTGAGGTGTTTTCTCATTTCATCCTCAGTTCTCTGATTTTGCTACCATTGTGATCTCTACATGTTACAGATTTTGTGCAACAGAAGTCATAGAGCTAAGAAGTTAGAGTCTCCAGCGTTAGAGTCTAGTCATTAGTACATCTCCCATTGCTTAACATCTGCTCAGACTAACAGTATAATTGATATCTCAAATTCACTTCAGCATTCCTCAGTGTCTC